TTTTTTTTTTTTTTTTGGGGGGGGGGGGGGGAGGAGAAGCACTGAATTAACATAAATAGATGCACACAAGAATTATTTTCATATAAAAATTTACAAATAGTAGGCCAGATTTCCACCTGGTGTCTCTCCATTGATTTATACCAGCTGATGATCTGCCCCATAATGTTAAATACAGATTAAGTGTATCTAATTTTGAATTATTCAGAACTTCAGAGTAGCAGTGTCTTGATTCTAAATAGATGTATTAAACCCAAGTACTATAGCCCTGTTGGCAGCTAACTCTTCTTACCTGCAGAAGCTGAGCAGTATTCCATCTGGCATCTACATTCTTTTCCAAACATTTCCTTAGAAAATCTTTAAAATCTGAAGACCTGCAGAAGAAAACAAAGAAGTGATTGCCACTTTCCCTTTCCTCCTACACAAACTGCATAGTGACACATTCTTTTCAATTTCCCATTTATGACTGCATTACAATTGCTCACCATCCCATTCAAAACAAGGCAAGAGAATGGAAAAAACCAAAACCCAAACAGTTTCCCCCTAACTGGTTACAATAACTGGCATAACTCGAATGAAATCAATGGAGTTATACCAGGGATATGAATTTAACCCAATGAGTTTTACAGTCGAAACGCCCATGAGGTGCTGCATATTGATCTTCTGATAGCCAATCTAATAAATGTTTAAAAGTGAAAGTAGCACATTGCTTACCTTGTAACATCTCTTAATAAATTGTTATAATCTAGACTATATTAAAAACCACTGCTTTATCTGTCGCATTGTTTTGTGTAAAGTGATATGGCTTGATTCAACACCCGTTTATCCATTATTTTGCCTTGTGAAGTGCAAACTTAACCTTTCTGTTCTTTTTTAGTCCCTGAGTGGCATTTTTTCTAATCAAGTTCCATTTTAAAGAAAGGTTTTATTTTATGGTTCTTGGTTTTAAATGCTTCCTAACTGCAAATTCACCTAGTAATACTTTGCACTAACCATTTGAAAACAATCTGTTGTCATGACTGAGTGGGCAATGGCATAAACTTTTCAAACAACGTATATTCTCTGTATGAAATCCTCAAGAGGGCTCTTCAACATTTCTCTTTTTTTTAAGCAGATCATCCTCCTCATGCTTTTTTTCCTCTATCACTTTTTTTAAAAAAGGGTAGTTAAAAATCTTTATGTACACATTTGATGTTGAATCTGAATCTTATGTTTAAAAAGAACAAGCTCTGTTTTCCAACAATATCAAAATACTAAGATACTGTAACCTTTTTAATATGAAAGTTTCTAGACACTGCAATAACAAAAAGTAAAGTCATGGGCCCCAATCCTCCAAGGCCACATATAAGTACTTAATGCATGTGAGTAGTTCATACAGTTTAATAGGACTACTCAAAGGCCTGAAGTTAAATGTGCTTACATCGTGGCAGACTCAGGGTCAATCTCCAAAACCCTTGGCAAAAGAAGTTAGCATTAAAAGACTAACCATTTTGAAGGCTGTGCCAATGTAGGTGGGTCAGATTTTGCTATTTTCAGCAGCACGCGCATAGGATTTAACTCGTGATGAGGTGGTTCTACTTGAGCCATTTCTATTAAAGTGATGCCCAGTGACCACACATCAGCCTTATAATCATAAGGCCTGTCTTTAGATGTCTCACACATTACCACTTCAGGAGCCATCCTGCAAAAGAGAATGGTGTATAGAATTAGAGAATGAAGCATTATCATCTGCAGTCAAAAACATTCTAATTTGTTGACTTAATTAAAATATTAATGAAATTTAAATATTTTAAAGTAAATGGCACACTTTTACATACTTTACATTATTCTTTTGCAAGGCTATATAATCAACTGTGATATTAAAATATTAGTTCATGCTAAAAAGTTAACAAAACTGCACACTTACCAGTAAGGTGTACCAATGAAAGAATCTCTTCTCTGTATTGTCCTTGTGTTTTTAGCAGATACGCCAAAATCCGCTTGAAGCAAACAATAAAAATATTACTAATTTACAGGTGGAAATTTTGAGCTATATTTCAGACCAAAAAGTATACATATATGAATATTAAAACACCAAAGTGAGAGTTCAAAATATTTAAATATGTTGGTATTATTAATCAGTAATGCGTTGTAGCTCACTAACTGCTCTAATAAAAAAGTATAATGCCTTCCCCTGCTAAAAATAAAGCACTTTAAAGGCTAATGCCGAGATTAGGATGTGAGGGACAGAAATAATGGCCGGTAGGAGAAATATTTGTTGTTAGAAGAAAAGGAATAAAATATTTTCCATTAGGAAATTATTTATTTTGCCTATGAAATTATCACACTAAACTTGAACATTAACATCTCTGATTTTTACACTAATTCAGAAATCCTAAACTAGGATTTATTTTCTTTTTCCTGTTCCCCCAGTATGAAATATTTGAAAAAGGCTAATAGTAAAGGCATGTAGGTACACTTTTGATTGTAAAATGTAAATTAGAAATCTGGCATTTCCTATAATAAATTTTATCAAATAGCATATCAAGCATGACATGTCTCATTCATAAAATAAGTATATTTATTTCGAAGAGATACTTTTTTGTGTCCTACTATAGCAGATGTTCTAACTCTTCTTAATTAAAGTGTACTGATTGGACCAAAGAGACAAAATACCCATATGCTGTCTGCTTCAATCTGTATAAAATAACGTGATAGGCTCAACACCTGATAAGCCTAATTTTACTCTTTACAGAAAAGTGTAGGATTAAGGCAGCTGCCTATTCCAGTATAAAAACAGAAATATTAAAGGACTGTAGATACTATAAATTAGACATTAAAACTTGATGGTTTCTCATAAAATTGTCACACATGAAATTCCATATTATTTATTAAAAAACAGGAGGCATTGCACTTAAATTCAAGACAACCAGAAGCAAAAAATCAAATAGTACAACCAGCAAGAAAGAGATTACACATTCTTACACACAGACTGTTTCCTTTTCAAAGGTAAAGTAAATTAAATCTTTGACCAGTCTGAATGTTAAGGGCCAGTTTACATCCACTGAATCCACGCATGAAGGGGACTTCCCCACTCAGATTTCTCTGCAAAGTAGGGTCTCAGCTACCTCTACAGCACTATAACCCAACTTCACATCCGGGCTGAGAAGAGGCAGAGATCTCGTGGGACAAGGGAAATGGGCAAAGACAGAAGAATACACTCATCCTAGCTCTGACCCTGTGGAAATTTGTTAGAAAAGATAATACAGCCTCAGGCTTTAGTATTAATTATTATTTTATTATAGTATTATTTATTTATTTGTACTAATGTGGTCCCTACGAATCCTAGTCATGGACTAGGACCCCATTGTGTTAGAGGCTGCATAAACACAAAACAAAAAAAAGTTACTTACCCTAAGAAGCTTACAATTTAAGTAGAAGACAAGAGACAAAAGGTAGATACAGACAGAGGAGTACAAGGAAACAGTGAGAGGCCACAATCAAGATTGGGTTCCCATTGTGCCAGGTGCTGTGCATATATACACAGGAAGAGACAGTCCCTGCCTTGAAGCTTACAAGTTTAACAGACAAGACAAATAGGAAGGCAGGATTATCATCCCTACTTTGCAGATGAAAAACTGAGGCACGGAATCACCAAAACACTTGCTTAGCTATTCTGAATTTTTTAATTGACTTCAAAGTTAAGCTAGTAGTGAAGGAATGCTACTTGGAGCCCCAAAGCCAGTGTAAAAGCAGAGGGCCTCCATGAAGATAGATCTGGACAACTGTGCATCCCTGAGGATCTACCAGATTTAGAGGTGGGCCATTTAGCCATTTCCTAGATGGAGGGACCAAATTCCATCCCTCAATGGGACAATGTGGAGCTTTCATGAAGGAATCCTCATGGAAATTTCCTCTCTATACCATCCGCATTCTCAGGAGAGAAAATTTTGGGTGGTGGTGATTACTTCAGACAGAATGCTAGGAATAAAAATGACAAAGCTCATAGCAATTGTGTGTTCCAGCTCCCACTGAAGTTAAGGAAGAGGGAGTGATCAGTGGTATAGAAGGCTGTAGGGAAAAGGGAACACCAATATTAATAACAGTGATCATATCACATTTTTTCTATATCTAGAATATTAGTGGGAGACATTTAAAGAAATTCAATTATTATAGACTTTATTTTCACACATTTTAAATATAGTTTTCCATAGCCAAACTCAGCAAAGGGAAGAGCTGAGGTTTCTACCATAAACCTACTATAAAATTCTTGTTTTTATATATATAAGTATTTACACCTAGTATAACCTGACTTTCAAACAATTCAGTAACAATATTGGTACCAGGCCTGCTCCTGCTCCCTTTGAACTCTACGTGAGGTTTGCCAAGCATAAATAAGATAACTCAAGCTTTACTTATTTTTCAAAATAACAAAAAATCACTTATGTCTGTTGAACTATAATTCTTCTATAATGTATATCTAAGTACACAAATACTCAACAGTGCCAAACAACAATTTAAACAAAAAAGTTCATAAGATGATCTGGTTTTTTTAAAAAAATCTTGTCTATTTCCATGCAAGAGCCTTACCCAGTTTAATGTCTCCATCTAATGTAAAAAGAATATTGCCAGCTTTTAGATCTCTGTGAATGATCTTATTTTCATGCAAGTAGTTCAGTGCCTCCAAAGTCTGCTTGCAAACTACTTTGATCTGTGGCTCTGTTAATGGCCTCTCAAGTTCTGAAAGAGAAACAAACACAAATATTAAAAAAAATCCCATCTTTTCCATTTTTGTTTTTATTTTTACATAAATTTCCAGACTGATCATTATAAATCATAGCAAAAACTGTCAATCTGACAACTTAGTTTTAGAAGTAAACATTAGGCAAAAAATTCTAGCCCACTGAAGTCAATGGCAAAATTCCCATTAACTCCAATGGAGCCAGGATTTCACACCTGGGATCATCTCATTTATGAACGATTTATAAAGTTAGTTTGAATTTTCTGTTTAATATACGGAAATATCATTAAAATGACTCTCAGGTCAAGGAAATATAAAGTATTATTCAAAACATAATTAGATTAAGATGGAAAAAAGAACCAGATTCTGTAAAGACTTAAATACATGGACAACTAATCACATAAATAATCTACTCATGCGATTAAAGTTGCTCACATGCATAAATTAATGCATAATTTAAATTATTAATTTAAAAATAATTTAGATTTTTGAGAAATATAATGACTATTTTAAAAATAACAAAATTACTTTGCATTAAGATGAGGGAGTTACATACATAGATATATCTACTTTAAGCTCATATAATAAATATTTTAAAATCATCACAATGCGTATTGTTCAGTATAGTCCTGCATAAAATACAAACAAAATATCTGCATTTCAAAATAGTATATAATTTTTAAAAGTAAAATCCTTCCAAATATTTAATTATATTTATTTTAACCTGTTATAAAGATTATTATTTGAAACAAAAACTTGTATTTACCCAACATTACTGCATCTACTGCTCCACCTGCACAAAATTCAATCAGGATCTGTGTATAAATAAAAACACAGGTATTAAAAATAAAGCTAATGTACTGAATTGGAAGTGTTGTCTAGAGGTCAGAGACCACAGGACTTGGCATCAGTAGGCTTGGGTTCTATTTCCTCGTTTATCCCTGGCTTGCTGTGTGACCTTGATAAATCACTTATCTAACCTCTGTAGAACAGTGATATTAGCTAACTGAAAGTGGCACTGCAAGGCTTAAGTAAATTGTGTGCAAAGTGCTTGGAATTCCTCAGACAAAATGTGTTAATCCAGGTATCTAAATTCCACAATAAAAGGATTAAAGTCAACTGGAATCTGGTTGGCTGAGTGTGTGATTTGCATAATCATTATATAGTCATTTCTGATTTGAAAATTCTGAGTACAGGAGCCAAAACATTTGTTAACAGCCCAGAGACAGCTGCCTGATCTTCACTCCCCCTTCAGGTGAAACAGAAAAAGTATAACATTTACATGAAAGGAAAGACATCAAAAATCAAAGGAAACAGACCTGTCACATTTTTTAAAGGGAAAACCAAAAACCCTTTGACTTGTTTTTCTCCTTCTTCCTATTCATGTCCATAGAACAGTTTCTTGGCCCCAGAATAACTAGTTACACTGGGAGTATTCCACACCCTTGCTCCCAAGTCTCTTATTATATAAAAGTATAATGCAGTTATTTGGGGATACAAACCCTGCTGATTTATAGAGACAAAGAAGGTGGACAAAAATAATAAAAAGGATGGAAAGAAGGGTGAGCCAATAGTTTTTAAAACTTTTTATTAAACAATGTACCTTTCAACACATTGAGATCTCATTTTTTTGTATTCTGAAGTAGTTTTCTTTTTCATTTAAACGTTGAATATTTAATTAAAAAAGTTCAATATGACAACTACTTCCTCACAATCATACACTGGGAAAACACCTTGATGTTTAACTCAGAACACACTTTTCTTAAAAAAGGAATGAGTCTCAATTTATGACTTAAATAAATACTTAAATACTCATTTACAACTTATGTGACACTATACTTATACTAACTGCTCCTCACAACAGCATTATGAAGAACTAATATCATGTAGAATCTTTGTAAACCCCTGCCACATTCACATACCATTACTCAATTTACACATCTGCAGTGTTTTGTTTTTACAAACCAGGCAAGTGAATGAGGCAAAATGCCAAAAAACTCACTGTAGAAAAATTCCACATAAAATAATATAGTCTATAAAATTTAGTTTAATACACATTTTTGTATATGTTCTTTTGATGAAAAAGGTGTTTGTAAAACTGATGGAAGCCAGAAACCATTTTTAATACCCATTTCTGATTGTTATCTTATTTTAGAAAATTAATGGTTAAACAGTTTGCTACCCAGGAGAACTTAACGCCAAATCTTGTCTTTTTTTTCTTTATAGGCCACAGGTCTAAAATAACGTAAGAGAAGAAAACACAAGCTTATTTTCATAAACCAGATTATGAATCTGAGGAGAAATAAATCACACTTTATTACTACTACATGGGAGACACAGATTTGATTACTAAAGAATAAAAGCTGATAAGACAAACTGGTCATAACTTGAGCATTTTAAAATGATTATTAATTACTACAAATGGATGAAACATTAATTTGCATTTAACTCTTTGCTGGGGCATAGGTTGAGTAATAAAAGGCATTTCAGGCAAGCATTCCTACTCAAAACAGTAATTAACCACGTGCTTAACTTTAAGCATATGGTTAGGTCCCATTAACATCATTGGTATTTATGCACATGCTTAAAGTTAAGCATATGCGTAAATGCTGTCCTTAATAGGGATGGACTTAAGCACTTCATAACTGCTTTCCTGAATCAAGGCCTCAGAGGGAAGAATGCCATATACCAAATCATTAATATTACTTCCTGAAGCATCCAGGGAGGTCTCCTATGCAAGTACTAATCAAGGCTGACTCCTGTTTAGCTTGAGTGAGCTAACAAAACAACAAGTAAAGGTGATAGGACTGAAGACATTTATTCTTAATTAAAAGCATAGGGAGCACAGTATCCCATTTCAAACTAATAAAAATGTACAACTAAACATTTTAAATCTTTTTGAGAAACATAGATAATATCCTTCTTGAGGATTACTTATCTGATTATCACCTCACTGGCCATTCTATCACTCCTGTTTTTGATTCCTGCCAGTGCCTTCCTTTTGCCTACCACAAAGTTTAGGCTTCTCACTGTCACCTTCAACTCCACCATATCTATGTCTCTGCTTTTATTTCAAACTACTCACCATTTTGCCCCTTCACTCGGCCAATGAATCCCACCTAACCACTCACTTTGATGTTCGTCTCTCGTATGGCCCCCCTGCACATGGAACTTTCTCCCTATTCAACTCTTCGTTCATGAAATTCTTCCAAGAAACCCTCCCATGCAAATTCACATTAGTAAAACTGATATCATCCATTAATGTTTTTAAAAGGCTGTGATCAAAGTTAAATTTATTTATGTGTCCTAGGATATTTTCTGTCTAACTTGTGTTGTGTGTGTATTTAAACTGTAAACGCCAAAGGGCAAAGATTATCTTCCTTGTACAGACCCAAGTATACTTCTTTCTTAATAAATAATCATAGAAATGTAGGGCTAGAAATGGACCTTCAGAAGTCAACAGAGCCAGCCACCATGCTAAGGCAGGACCAAATGAACCTAGACCCTCCTGACAGGTGCCTGTGCCACTTGTTCTTAAAAGCCTCCAATGGTGGGGATTCCACAACCTCCCTTGGAAGCCTATTCCAGTCTAATAATGATGATATCAAAGAACAAAGGTGGAATAATCTTATTACACATGACTGATATTTATATACATGTAATTCACTGCAAAATAATTAGCAGAGTATCTAAGTATATGCATTGTATTTGTGAAATCAATACATGTACATTCAAAGGCCTGGATCGTCAGCAAATTGTGGGCCCAGTTCTGAGAGATGCTAAGCACTTTCTGGAAGTTACTGAGTGCCCTCAAGTCCCACTAAAACCAGTGGAAGTTGAGGTTAATCAGCATCTCACAAGATTGGGCTCTATAAGCCCTAATTTTTATTTTATTTTTAATTGTGTGGTTGCCGTTATCAAATCTTCCTGTTATCAAATCTTGCCGTTATCTATTTCTGAACTGTGCTGGTGGGCTTAAAACTTGAATCCAGCAGTTACAAACAAGAAATGTCCAAATCCTCTCTATACATGGACATAAACTATCAAATTCCAAGTTTTAGAATCAAAACAGGGTGAACCAGAGCTGCTGTTACAGTCAGAGCTGAATAGATGCCTCTGTATATCTTAATTTCATCATACCTACTTGCTAGATATTTTGACACAGTAATCATGCAACTTGCAAGTTAGTTGTAAAATGGAGTGGATAATTATCCTAATAATTAGTAATGATGTAGAAAAGATTTGATGGAATAATGATATAAAGTCTCTTATTATTAAGTTGGGGGGGGGGAGAAACCTAAAGTTCAATATTTTTACATAAATAGGAGAACGGTATACAAAAGGAAACACCTACCCAAAGATTGTTTTCATAGTAGAAAGCATCAAGAAGCTTGACAATATTTGGATGATCGCAGGATGCCAGAATATCAATCTCAACCATGTAATCTTCTAGTTCTTCCTCAGATTTCGTATCAATCACCTTTGCTGCAGCAAGGACTTTGGTTTCTTTGTTCTGAGCCTGTAAAAGGAAGTCCCAGCACCATTAAAACAGGAACTTCTCAATATTGAACCCATTCAAAATAGTGACAAACTTCAATTATTTCACCTCAAGATTCTGTCATAATAATTGCTATAAAAACTACAATAGCATTTTGCCATCTTCAACGTGTTTTATGAACATTTACTAATTAATCCTCAACATACCACACAGAAGACAATATATACATATTATATACTGGATAAACTGAGGCAGAGGAAGGTTCGATAACTTTCCTAGTGAAACAGAGAATCCATGGAAGAAATAAGATGAGAACGTAGGAGTTCCTCACTCCTGGTTCCATTCTCTGAATCATCATGCTGTCTATCTCTCAAGGAAGTTACTGTTGGTACTCCCTATAAAAGGAAGAGCATAAAATTTACATCTCAAATGAAGGGTGGGGTAAGGTGGCTTTAAACCACCTTTGTGCCATCCTCCTGGGGCTGAAGAAGCACTGGGAGTAACTAAAGATTTGTCTCAGTTATGACAGCTTCCCTGGGATGCTCTATGAGCCACAGTACTGCCTCTCTAGTGTAGCTATTCTAAGCCTACGGAAGAGAGCTCTCCCATCTGCTTAATTACTCCAGCCCCTGTGAGCAGCAGGAGAAGCTCTCCCACCAACATAGAACTGTCCACACCAGCACTTAAATCAGCATAAATTATGTCGCTCAAGGGGATGGCTAATTCACACCTGAGTTACATAATTTATGTTGATTTAAGCTGTAGTGTAATCATAGACTAAGGAGGATGATATCACCTCCTGACTTCCTGCTAGGTTAGAAGTAACTGTTCTGAGAACACACTAAGCTAAAAACCTTCTCTATAAGCTTGTTTACAATCTTAGATCTTACTAACTGAACTAAAACTACACTGGATCTTGGAGTGTTAAGAAAGGAACCACAAAGTGGAAAAATAGGAGGTAGAGGATTGTGCCTTTTATAAAGAAAAGCTCTCTGTTTTTCAGATAGGAAACTAAAGTTTGTTGACCTTGTAAAACTTTATGGACCTGCCTATCCTAGGAAAAATGTCTCAAAATGGCATGCCGTTGATAATTAGAGTTCAGCTCCAACAGTGTTAGCATAACTGGGAGCTCTAGTATAGATATCTACCTGCTGCTGGTGGTGTTTAATAGGATGTTGAAAATTCTGGCAGCCTGTCACATACTGCTAACACGGGCAGCTGAACTGCATACAGCAATGCTGGGAAAGTTTTAGAAAATGTTCTTGGTGTAGAGAGGTCCCCCAGCAAATGGAGAACTAATGGAATTATGCCATCACAAGCAACAAAACCCAGAAAGCTGAGCAACTGAGAGAGGAAAGGATTTGTAGTTAGACTGTTTATAAAACTGGTTTTTGTTTGACTTTTAACAACACCTTTTTAATACCAAAGTTAACAAATATTTGGAAGAAGGGAAGTTTTTGTTAAACATTCAGTAAAAGCGTGAGAGCTCACCATACTCAAAAAGTAATCCAGTAAAACTAGAGAAGATGAGACTTGACATTTTGATATTTCTAAGATCAAAAACAATCATAAAAGTAAAACAAAAGCCTTTAAGTCTGTCTATATACACACACATCATAAATGGACACAAATACAATTTAAAAAAAAATCTTTTGAAGTGACACCATAAATTTGGAATCTAATCAATTTCAATAAATGAGAAAAAAGTAATTTCTAAAACAATCATGTTTCCCTAATTATTTTTTAAGAAGGTGGTTTCCCTCACCAAGTACTGTCTGAAAGACCCACAAAAGCAAGATGGAAAACTGGCAAAGACCACAATGCTGCAAATATATCCACGGAGAGCAACCCCCGTGCCCACAAATGTGTAGTTGCAGGACTGAAGCACAATTCTCTTGACAATAGAAGAAAAACCATGAAACTGACTATACACAAAGTGCCATCACAAATGCACAAAAACTCCTTGAAAAGATGTTTTTCCTCTAATCTTTTTTAATTATACTAATTTTAGACATTACTTGTAATACCCACAGATAAGAATTTTTAAACATGATTTCCAAGTTGAGAGTGTTCCTTTAAATCTCAACAATGATTTATTCAATTACTTTGTAAAATATGTATTAAAACTAAAAGGTAGATCAGTATTTACAAGTATCTACTTAACTCAATTGGGTGTTCTATTGAAAGGAAAAACTGGAAAACACACAAATGATAGGTTTATAAACATGCACACAAAAACGTGGTTCATTCAATTTGTGAACTGAAATGGTCACTTACTAGTGTACTAGTATCAAAAAATAAAATGACTAAACATTTCCATGCATATGAGCTATGGGGGGAAAAATATCACCAGTAAAATAATGGTCGAAGCATGAAGGGGCATACAAATGTTTAGCATATCTTATAAATACCTTGCAACGCCAGCTACAACAGTGCCATGTGAATGCCTCTTACTTTCAGGTGACATAACTAAAAAGTGGGCAGCATTATCTCCCATAAATGTAAACAAACTTGTTTATCTTAGTGATTGGATGAACAAAAAGTAGGACTGAGGAGACTTGTAGGCTCTAAAGTTTTACATTACTTTATTTTTGAGTGCATTATGTCAAAAAAGTCTACTTTTGTAAGTTGCACTTTCACAATAAAGAAATTGCACTACAGTACTTGTGTGAGGTGAATTGAAAAATACTATTTCTTTTATCTTTTTTACAGTGCAAATATTTTTTATTGCAAATATCAAGTGAGCATTGTATACTTTGTATTCTGTGTTGTAATTGAAATCAGTACATTTGAAAATGTAGAAAACATCTAAAAATATTTAAATGGTATTGTATTATTAACAGTGCGATTAAAATTGCAATTAATTGTGGGTTTTTTTAATCTTTTTAATTTGTTTGACAGCCCTAGTTACTAAGGAAACTAAGTAGTCACAGACAAGGAATAAAGTACTGTCATGGTTGTGAAACTGACTGGCACAAAACAGAGTGGAATTAAATGGTATATTTCCAATATCACAGAAGGATAACAGTCAAGTGCCCAATGATCTGTACTAGGACTGCGATATTTAATACATTAATGTTCTGGAAAAGGTGGTGAACAGTGAGATGGCAAATTTTGATACCTATGTAGAGGGGAAAGGAGTATAGCACAAGTCATTCAATTGAATTGCTTATATAAGAGGTACATACTGCTAGCTCAAAGTAAGGGGACTTGGGGGGGAAGGGTAATTGTTTAATATTTTTTGATACTGTAATTTGAGCTAGATTAAAGGATTATGAGGTGATGTGTGAAAACAGAGGTAGATGGCTAGAGCTGAAAGACTAAATGAAATAAGATACATCACTGTATAAGCACTGCAGCCTTCTACCTTGCTAAAGTGAGCAATAGCTAGTTAAAATAATGTATACTTTTCCTTTTACAAAGACATGCTTACGCTAAATTAAGACTAGCAATACTTTAAAAAAAGATATTTGATGAAAAACAAACTACTTCATATTGTCAGAAAGCAGTGGTAAAATAAGATTCCATATTAATCATAAAATATGACAATCAATACCATGTGGAAATTGGCTTTTGTGGTTTCTTACGAGGTTTGTTATGTACATACTCTTTATCTTTATTTGCTGAAAAGCTATTTTGTTCAGATAAAAACATACTTATTTCTGAGCTAATGAAGAGGAAGTAGGGTATGTTTTTATCAACTTGCAAAAGAAAAAAGGCATTGCCGAAATGTCTTTGTTTCCTAAAAAGTGTTAGAAACTGATTGATAATTCTCTTTACAATATTAAATCAACTCGTTTTTGGAGAAATTTAAGCTTAGAATATTACAAGTAAAACGTTAAGAAAATTTTAATTGATTCTGAGGGTATTGCTGAATTGCTGCCTTCCACAAAGCTTCAGAATTTTTTAAAATAATTTGCTTTTTAAAAAATATAAACCAACTGTAAACAAATGGAAAATTGAACAGGAATTAAAGAAAATCATATGATATATTTAAGCTAGTGTTTCACAGATCTTCTACAGTTTATGAATAAAGATGTAAACATAAATATTTCTGCCCAATTCTATGCTGTTGTTCATTTAACAAGAGGTGCAAAATTAGATTAAAAGCTAAGACTTCCAGCAATTACATACTTTGATTTTGTCTTTTGATTCTTTTACGAAGCTTACACTGAATCTCCATTAGTTTTTGATATTGCCATATCTCACAAGAGAAAGAGGGTTGATAAGAGCCAGCACTTGGATGACAGATCTCTGAGGATCACCTAGTGCTGCAAAAATGGCGTTCAGGATTCAGTAGGTGGACTCTTCCTTCACTCAGATTCAAAGGAAAACCACTACTCCAGCACGGTTTTAGGAGCAATATGATGCTTAAGATGCTGTCTTTCAAATGAGATGGACCCATGAATTGTATCCATTAAAGATTACCATGTGATTATTCATAACTGTATGGGGGTTAACCCTGGAATACTGACAAAATTACAGGTTGGCTTATTACAATATGCCTACCTAAATTACTCCTCTTTTAATATGTTCTGTAGTGTTGTGGTATAGTATACTGTTATATACCTACTGAATTTAGTTTATAATGTAGCCACACCAGTGGTATACACAATAATTGCTGTGGCAGTTTGTATCAGTTCATAAAGCATATTGGAATCATTTGAAATAAATGTTAAAATATAAAATATAAAACCCTCTGGAAAGCTTTATGCACAAAATGTGCAAGGAGGAAATGGCTGCCCTTTGCAAACTTTGCAGCTATATTAAATTCGAGATTTTATCTGTATGTTTATGAATGGCAGAAGCATGACAGATGTCCTTCCTCTGATATAACTGAGCTGTTGTAATAGTTTTAAGTACTATATGTAGCTATTTCTGGAGTTTTGTATCTTTTTGTAACTAACTTGTTATAATTATTAAGGGGGAGGAGCTATCATTATCACACTGTTTATTATGGCCTTTCCATTAAAACTCCTTTATTGCTGAGTTAATGGTGAATTCAGGACTGGGGAAAACCA